AAAAATTGTAATCAATTATAATTGATTATAATTTATTATAATATCACGAAAAATGTTATCATTATATTGGATTATGAATCATTTAAACATCTAAATTTGGCGCATATAATTTTGATAAAAATACAATTATAATTTTAATAAAATCGAATCTTTTCTTTTTATACTGAGTGCGGGTAGTGAAGACTCTTGAACAGGTCTTGGTGATTTTTTTGTTTTTTTGAATGAGCGCTGAAAGCTTACAGCGGATTAATTGCAAGATTTCAAATACTTGAGTGTTTGTTTTCATGATTTCAAACACTTGGGTCTTCACAATGATGTTTAAGCCATGCCTGTAAAAGTTTTCATCTGCATTTATTTTTCTCAATCGACAAAAAAAAATGATAATGCGAAGTTTCCACAACCAGTATTGTCTTAAATAGAGTAGACATGATAAATTCGGGCACAAAATGATTTATGTACACCGGTTTAGGGTGTGGCTGGAACAAATCACACGGCAGCGTCGGATATTGTGAGTGACAGGAGGTCCTTCTTCTGCAACTCCTCCTCCGAGTTCAATGACATGGCCACGCTCTTCTTCAACGGACAGGAGGCATCAGTCAAGGCCCTTTTCCACACTGTTGGTCAGTCTCTTACCATTTATTTTAAAATGCTCCTTGTGTCTTAAAAATACACGAGGAATGTTACGACAAAAAATTTGTTTAAATGACTCATAATTTCAAAATCATGTTCTTTTTCTCTATTAATTTTAAATAGAGCACACTAATTTTTTATTTTTTGTTTAAAGTACAGAAATACTTTTATACGCCTATTTATCAAATAGTTTTTACTAGTTCAAAATTGCGCATTCAAGAGGATTAAAATCACTGCGTCTAGAATAAATTAGAAACAAACTAGAAACTTTTCAATCTTAACGTGCTCAGCAAATTATCACATTTACTTGTACTTTTGTGTTTTTTTTTCTTCCTTGGTTTGGAAATGGGACAAAGTTTCCAAATCAACCTTGGTAACAACCATGATAAAATACCAAAACCCGAGTTGACCAGAAATGCTAATCATACACTTTTCATGCAATTCCAAAAATATAGAAAATTGCATGATGATCTATGGCTAGTGATTTTTCATATATGAAAATAATTTTATGACTAGCATTTTTTCATAAGAAAAAATTTGATTATTTAAAAATTTGAAACTTTTTCAAGCTATAAGTAGGGTTGTTTGCTTAACCGAGCAGAACAGTCAAATGCTATATTGGAAGTGTCAGTTTTGGCAAAAAATGTTAAAGATAATCTTTTTTGAAAATTGATTTTTAAAACTAATCAGGCATTGATCAAGGCATAGGTAAACATGCTATGCAAAAAAATAGGCGTTTTAAGCGTTTTTGAAGAAAAAAATGAAAAAAACAATATGGAAGAAAACCTAGTTTTCTGTACCCATGACTAAGTTATGCACACAAAATTAAATATTGTGCATGCAAAATTTAGAATGGAGAATGATTGTTTAAGTACAAAACTCGTTAAACTGTTGAAACAAATCAAATAAATTTGGGGCATAGTTGAAACTATTTCAGAAAAATGTTGTCGTCATAAGAAAAATGCTAGTCATACCAATTCCACATCAGAAAATTTTTTAATTTTTTTTTAAATTTATGACGATACAATGAATAATCATTCCCATGTTGTCTATTCTATGTCACTTGCAAAGGCTATAAGTAAGGTAAACTATTGTCATAAAAAGATGGAATATTTTTGACAGCAATAGGGATAGTGAACCCACCGTCGTCGAAGACTGTTAATTTCTTGAATGCAAACAGGATAATTGCAAAAAGAAAATACACTAAAGGTTGCTGTGAAGTTATTTTTTTTGGGGTTGCTGTTCACAATATCACAATAAGTTATTTTGTAACTGCGCGCACTTCACTATTCTCAAACGGCTCCCTTGTTTCCCAGTCATATTTTCAGTGATATTTTTCTTTTACTATGATACGTAAATTGTGCCCTGTTTTCAAGGAAAGATGTGAGAAATTCAAAAGCGGGACCACGTAACCAATGAGAAAAACACTTTTCTGGACTTGTATATGATCGACCGTGTCGAAAGATTTTTCAAGATCAAGAAAAGTAAATTGCATGATTTTATTTTGCTTCTACCGCCCAAGTTGGATTGTTTCAATTAAGGATATTACGGCGTAAGTTGAACTTTAATCGTGCCTAAAACCAAATTGTGTAACCTTTAGAAGAGTTTGATCCTTGAAGAGCTCGTTTTTTATATTGTGAATTTGTTTTTCAAATAATTTATTTATAGCGGTAAGTAATGAAATTGGTCCTTAGCTTTTAAGGTTACGTTTACACCCATCGCTTTGAACCGTAATATTTGGGCAGTTCTTCCGCACGCTGAGAAAAATTATTTTCTAACCACTCAAGTTATAACTCTGTCAGCCCTGGGACCTTTTTGTTAACTTTTGATTTCAAGAAAACATCATCCGACTTCAAGCAATCTGTGCGATAACTTTATTTTGAAATTTGTATGGTTTTAAGAATTTCAGCCATTTAAACCGGCCCTAAAATTTTGCCGTCGCTTCTTAGCTATGCTGCTTTTTCATCTCTTTTGCTAATTTTTTCCACTTCTCTTTCATCAAAATCTTTGTCGTTTTTTGTTTATTTTTACCGGTGGTGTCAAAAACAAGTTCAAAATACTTCCTACAATTATTTTAGCCTCTGTGACATTTTTTTGTTGGTATTGTGATCTTTTCTTGTCCCGTACTCGATGCTTAGTTGTTTTTGTCGGATCATCATTTCTTTCGTGGTTTATGGGAACTCGAATGCTTGAGAAAAAGTTGCCATCGTCGAAGTTTCCTTTTTGCCTCTTTTTAGTAGTTTGTCTGCACCGATTTTTTTTCAATTTTAATCTTGTTCCTCTCTCAATTTTGCCAATTGCAAAATATTTTTCCAAAGTTTCAATTATTAGAATTAGTTCTTCGACATTTTTAGTGATAATCGCGCACTTTCTAAAAGAAATTAGTAACGATTTCAATCGAAGGTTGGATTTGGTCACTTGATATTTTAGCTCGACAGAAAAAAAAATCTGACGTCTGGTAAAATTATCTCCTTAATTTATTTTCAAAGAGATGCGTGAAGACAAAAACTGCCTAATAATGTAAATTATTTAAGTACATAATGAAAAAATAATTCAAAAAACATATAAAACTTCATATCGTGCCAGTATTATAATAAACACCTTGGGCCTCTCCTCGAAAGCCACAGATCATTCAACCATATTAATTCGAGTTTTTTTCTTTTTTGAGCTCGTGTCTTTGTACCCCTGTCTTCTTCCTAAACGCTGGGTAAATCACAGCAGAAGAATACCACTCACAGCGAAAGTCACAGGCAGGACAATCACAACTGGGTGCAAAGCACTTCCTATGACTTTGTATGAAAAATACTTCGAGTGGTTTCACTCAATAAAATTCTGATTTGAGGAAAAAAAGATTTTTGAAACAGCTACAAAAAACGTCAATAATAAGACAAGTGAGGCCTAAGATTTACAAAGTGTACAAAAGTTTAAATCATAAGCAAAGATTAAATCAGACATTTATCTCATTACAGTTTTCTTTGTTTTTAAATACGACTCAATTTAGGTTAATCAGCCTATCTGGGTTTTGGTTTTTATGAAATGACGATTTCTCATCATTGTTTTTTCGCCTGGTTTTTTGTTTGTTTATTGCTATATCTTGTATTTTACAGCTATCGGCTGCAAACGAACAATGTCCTGAGCTTTTGTCACTTTCGCAAATTTTTCTCACTCGGTTAGCCACCAAAAATGACACGATACAAGTATTAGTGCTGTTGTCACTTCCAAGCCTTTTGCAAACGCTCTAAGCTTTGCCTCAAATTCCGGCAAATGCTCGCGAAAATATTTGCTGTTTCTATACATTGGGCTTACTCTATTTTAAAACTGTCGTCGAGCATGGTATGCCTCGTCTCTATCATCGAAAATGATAAACTTGTAGGCTACACAGGGTGGAAAATTTCTTTTGCGATTGCCCGGTAAGGTGTGACAAGCTTTTATCTATTCTTCCGGTATGTTCTTTGTCAAATCGTTTTTGAAAAAATTTAAGGTGTCCCTTTCTACCTTTTTTGATCAGCTTGCCTTGAAGGGTGGATTTTGAATAATCAAACAATCCTTGTTCATCTCTCTTGTAATCGTAGTCTACTGTTCCTATTATCGTGTTTTTTCTATCATTTGAGTTCGTGCTCCTTGTTCTTTCGTCTCCTTAGTTCATCTTATTTTCCACGTTCTCCGTCGTATTTAAATGTTTGAGGTAAAAAAAAACGAAAAACGTCTTCTTTTTTATTCTTTTTCACGTTTCCAAAATTTTGTGGGATTTGATTTTTTCTGAATTTTTGATTAAAATATTTCAGTCAGTAGGTTGTATTTGAATTTAAAAACCCATTCGGATTGAGAAAAATTTTAGAAGTTTTTCTTTTTTCCAGCGGGGTTGCCACGCGGTGAGGGCGGTCAGGGCCATGTCACGGCGAACAAAAACTTGTGAGGGCGGTCAGGGCCGTGTCAGGGCAAACAAAGTTGTGTCAGGGCCAGGAGCGTGAAAGCGTTGCTGGCCTTAGTTCTTACTTGAAAGTTTATATTCAATGGTTTAGTAAAGCGTTAAAACTGTATTTTTTTCAGGGGTAAGAGACGCGAACATTCAGTCAAGAAAGATGTAAGTTCAATGAAGAATGGCTTCAAGATGGTGAGTTTTAATTGAGGGTTGGTAAATCAACAACTGAACACGAGTTCAGATGTGATCTTTGTAAGAAATCATATACGCTGGGCAATATGGGTGTCAAAGCACTCCGGTCCGATGCAGGGCAGAGCAAATTGCATGCTGAGCTGGTCCCGCTGAAAATGCAATCCATTCGTTCGGAAGAACATGTTGAAGATTTCCAAGTCGTAGGTGGCCCTGTAGTTGAGCCAGCTACTCCAGAGGATGAGGCTACAGGAACTGCCTTGAAAACAACCTTGTAAGAATGTCAGGGCCTGAGCTTCAAAGTTTTCAGGGCTGTCAGGACGACAGTTAAATTATACCGCGTGGCAACTCCGTCTAGCTGTATGGCTCAATTCAATATTTTGGAAAAACGCGTTGTTAAAACAATCAAAATTTTTTGTCGAATTGAAAACTTGCAATGCATATCAAGGTCAACCGTTTTTGAAACTTGACTGCTCTTTTTCTAGAAGAAAATTCTAAACAATTTACAGAAAACTGAAAAATGCGAGCTCATTATGCTTCTTACCGAAGAAATATTTGATCGCATGGCCAAACAAAGAAAGCAAGAAACTTTCAATGCGACCATCAGAATAGTACGATTACGTCTCCAATCGGGAAAAAATCAATATAAAGGTAATGAAACTATGGTAAGAAATAGAATAATTTTAAAAGCAATACGGATCGTGACTCCGACCAATATCGAAGTTAATTAACTCTCTGATTGCAAACAGGACTATTGCAAAAAAATCACATAAAGGATTGCCGTTATTTTTTTTTGCGGTTGCTTTTCACGAGACGTTAATCTGCTACTATGCACACTTCCACACTTTTTCAACGGCTCCATTGGTTTCAAACTATTTGTCTTACCCTAAGACAAAGCACACCAGTGCCATCAAAAAACGATCAATTGGAGCCGTACGATGCAGAGTATTCATTGAGAGTGAGTGCGACTTAAAAAAATTTAAAAGAATCTGAAAAGAGTCTTACCCTAAGACAAAGCACACCAGTGCCATCAAAAACGATCAGTTGGAGGCGTACGATGCAGAGTATTCATTGAGAGTGAGTGCGACTTAAAAAATTTGAAAAGACAAAAGGCGGCTGCATCAGCATAATAACTGGGAAACGTAATCCTTCCTTGCAATTAAACAAGTTTCCTTGCGAGCACTCATTGGAAATTGTTGAAAAAACCATAGGAAGGTCATTCCAAAGACGAAGTGAAGAAAACATCAAGGCAGAATAAGAAACCCACGGAACCAAGCAGCAGAGAAACCCTGAATGGGTTCAGAAGCCCAAAGGAACCCAGCAGCGCGGAAACTCGGAGAATAGTAAAACCACGTTAGGGGTACAAAAGCTACCAAGAACCCAGCCGCAGCGAAACCTGGAAGAGTAGGAAATTCCCAAAAAGATGCAAATGTTACTTGGAGCCAAGCAGCAGTAAAACCCAGAAGTCGCACAGAAGACTAAAAAACCAGCAGCGGCAAAAGTCCGAGGAGCGACAAATGCCGGAGGGATTGCAGGAGCTGCAAGGTTCTATGATAACCCCAATTTGGGTCCTGATCGTTCTTGATCAGATTGGCATTTCTTTTCAGCTAAATTTCAAAACTAACTGTTTCTTAGAGGGTGAAATGAGAATTCTTTAGATAAAAGACAAAACTTGGTATATAAAAATGGTTCGTATAGCTAAAAATGGTATACAGTTTGTAGAATTGAAAAAAAAAATTGGCTAACACCTCACTTAAACTAGGACGCTTATCTACTTAGCCGAAAAACAAAGGGGGTAATTCAAATCTCTTTGTTACAGTAAGAGTTATAATCTTGTTAAAATACACATAATGGGAATACGCTAGTGAGGTTGGTTAGCCAACTCGCCAAATAGAAAATTAAATAAAGCACTAAGCTCAAAATAACCCAAGCTCTCAGGAATCAGTCCCGTCTTTGGAGGAAAATTAGAGGGGAATAGAATGTGCTATCCCCCCAGATTAGGAACCACTGGTCGGATCATTGTGAAAATCACATGAATGATACTAGAGATGATTTGAACCGGGCATGCAAAACCCTGGACCCTGTTGACTTCCGGAAGCTATTTCTTGACCTCTGGTGACCCTAGGAAGCGGAAACGTGGAGGGTTGGTAGGTAGTGGTAAGACAAGCATGGCGTTTGAGTTTGGACCGAATCCGACGGTCCGAACGGAAGTTATTAGCACTGGGGAAAATACCCCTGGGACCGGAAAAAGGCAGAATGCGGAAAATGACGAGCGAGGGCATATTGATTTTATGGCGTTAATGTGTAGCAGACCCAAGCCCCGGAAAAAATCGTCTTGCGAACAAACCCTCTCCGTTGGCTCCTTCCGGCGTTAATAGCCAATCCCCGGAAAAGGTGATAATGAGCCTTTGAAAAGTGATAACTCGGGGAATATTAATCGGGTATGAATGGAACGTGGCAAGCGGGACCCCACCCGGCTCTGAACTCCTTGACTTTTGCTTGACCTCTGGTGACTCTGGGGTGACCTTTAATTGACCCTTGGAACATGTGTGGGATAAACCAAATAAAAACCTTGGGATTGCTGCCATTTGAACGCAAACTTTAGCTGAGGTTCAGTTGGACGTACAATTTACTTGAAGCGATCTGAATAGCCACTGGGATTTAAGCCTTTAGAACTGGTGTACCTATGGGAACCTTTACTTTACAGGACGAACGTGGAATTCACCGCAGTGAATGCCGGGACTTATATGGGAGGGGGATATTCAATTATACCGGTGTACAAACAGACATACCTATGGGGCGATTGGTATGTGGCTTTTAGAAGAGAGAAAAATTAACCAAAACCGAGAGAAGTTGGTAGTTCCGATCGTAAGTTTTGAGAGATTAACACTAAGTTCTTGTGTAGACTGGCTATACTGGGTGCGGATCGAAGTGGGAACCTATTCTAGAAGCTTGAGAAAACGGTTAATTTTAGAGATTGAATTCGTGGGTTGCTTAAGAGACAACCAATTTAGGAGAACCCATCTTAAATTGAACTCTTAGCTCGTTATATTATTAAACCAGATTTAATTCATTATTACGAGCGCTAGCAAATTATTTTGTCTTTACCTGATAATTCCATTAACCTGATTCACTTTACGTGTTACGCGTGTTGATTGAATATAACTTTGCGGGCTCTTTTTGTCCACGCGTGTTCGGTTGACTTTAAAAAAAGTGAGAGTAACCATAAAAAGAGTAAGAGATTTACGCGGGGCTAGCAACTTTTACAGGAGATTATAAAAGAACCACCACGAATAATTTGTAAGCGATTATTTGAACGATCTTGGCCCCCATTGATTTGAATAATCAGGGAATTCTTAGTTGAAGCAGATTCCTCAAACTTATATAGTTGGTACACTTTAAATAAACCAGAAATTGTTGCAGTTATTGAGATCTCGTTGAACTCAGAAAATTAGATTTTATTTCTGGTTATCAAAAAAGAGCCTGACACTGCGGTTTTTTTCTGAAGATATAGTAATGGTTATTTCTTGTATTGTACATCTTTCCGCAATTTTCATTTCTTTTTGTATCGCTGTTTTCATATTGGTGAATGTTGGTAGTGCGATTGGTAATGAAAATTAGATCAGCAGCAGGCTTGGGAAGGGAATCGGTACTATGATAGAAAAAAGGGAGCAAATTGTGCTTATGGCAATTATCTTAGATAGGGTAATGAAAAGAAAGCAAAACCAGCCGTTTAAAAAAAATTGACAAAATTTACAAATATAATTACGTCAAGTGTGTCCCTCTCCTGTGAGATTTCGGTTAGACATTTTTTTCTTAAACCTTTGGATAGAGTGTGGTGCATGAAATTTACTTAATGAAATTTTGATCAGAGGTTTTCTCTTTTCACTAGCTTACTTTTAGTAGAGCTCAGTTTGGCTTGTATTTGGGTTTTTTTCAAACTTTAAAATTAAAAGGACATAAAATTGTTTATAAAAGCTTGCAATAAGGGTAAACGATGCCAGAGTTTCTGGCGACTGATTAGGACCAGTATTTTGCCAGAATGCGAGACTAAAATTGTTTTCGTTCTGGTTAAAAGGGTGAAATACTTGCTTAAAGAGTGTTTGGATTCTTGGAAGGGTAAACATGCCTTTGGTTGTTATTTATTAATGATTAACCATGCTACGGGCGTGAAAACTTTAAAAATTCATCAATCGCAGAAAAAATTCATCAATCACTATATCAGCTTCTGGGTTTTTGTCTTGCATAAGAAATTTTTGTGATCCGTAAGTAATTGCATGTTAAAAAACCAAAAAAGATGCTCTGGAACCAACTGTGAGTTTTTGTATGCATGCTTTATGGGTTTTGTAATAGAAGACGAAGTTGGCTTAGCATCGTTGCAAAAATCTTTTTTTTTAGAAAGAGAAGAGGCCTGCCAAATTTGGGATTTTTATTTTTTGCACCAAAACTAATCGACATCAAAAACTTAATTTACTCCGCGGATCATGCTATTAAAGAAATCTCTTCGAAACATATAAAATTAAAACTGTAAGTTAACAAAACGATTGTTGTGTGACTAGATGTCAGTCGGATTTGAAATCAGTCTCAAACAGATATCATCATTTTAGGCAAAGTCAATATTATGATTACGATCCAACAGAACACCTCTTTCCAAAAATGTTAGTGAGATATTTGGGAAATCAATCATAGCAAACAAGTGAATTCTGAGATTCTTAACTTAAGAAGCGCTGTATAACAAAACTTTTAGAAATTTACGGTTTAACAACAAAAAGCGTAGTTCTTATCACATTCTTATCAATTGTTTCAGATGACTTCTCGCTGCGTACCCTGGTCATCTTCTTCTTCATCTTCTTCTTCGTGGCCTGCTGGACTTATGGAATCCTGGTTCCCTCTGGTCTTTTCGTTCCCAGCATCCTGTGTGGAGCTGCATACGGACGTATCTGGGGAAACATTCTCATGAAGTCAGTACTAAACATTATGTTTTGCTTTATTAAGCGTCAGGGGCGGTTTATCTTGGGGGGGGGGGGGGGCTCTTCAGGGATTCAAACCCCTCACCAACCAAAGGGTCCGCCTTTTGATACTATTTCATGACATGCATTACGAGGCCAAACTGTGTATTCTCTGCATTGTAAGCGGAATCCGCAACAGGCCAAAATCAGATTTGTCGCGGAATCCGCAACATTGCTACTTTCTTTGATCTACTATGCTGTTTTGGATTCCACAAACAAATACCTAAATCATTGTACGGCTCAAAATCGCTCGAAAAATAGGCGAATTTGCGGAATCCGCAATTGTATTTGCGGAATCAGATTTGTCGCGGAATCCGCAAAATTGCTAGTTTTCTTTGATCTTCTATGCTGTTTTGGATTCCACAAACAAAGACCTAACTCATTGTACCGCTCAAAATTGCTCAAAAAATAGGCGAACTTGCGGAATCCGCAATTGTATTTGCGGAATCCACAAACAAATAATAAAACATTTGTATCGTTAAATTGAGCTGTTGCGGAATCCGCAACTGTGAGTGGAATCCGCAAATTGTAAGTGGAATCCGCATTTTGTTCGCGGATTCCCTTTGCATATATTTATATGTGTAGTAGCCTTTAAATTATATTTTTTAAGTACATCATTTGATTTCACTAGAATATAAACTTACTTGAATAGAAATTTACTAGAATAGATCAGTGTTTGGGATTAATTGAATCCCAATTACTGACCAGTATTTGGGATCGATGATATCCCAAATACTGACCTAGTTCGACGATTTGCTATGCGCTGGGTTTCTAATCACTCTCAACATAATGAGTGCAAATAATGGATATATTCCATATTTATTCCATATTATTCCAGTTTTTGGGATTTCATCAATACCAAATACTGACCTAATTTGGCGATATGCTGTGTGTTGTGTTTCTAATCACTCTCAACCTAATGAATACAATTACTGCATTTATTCGGCGTTATGCTCCCAAAATCAGTATTTGGGATTGACACAATCCCAAATACTGACTTAATTTGTCGATATGCTGTGTGTTCCATATACTCTCAACTCAACGACTCCATATATTGAAATTGTTCGGTGTTGTGTTTCCAAAATACTGAAAGATGACATCCACCGATTTAGGTAACCAATGTTTTAGGACTTGTTCGTGGATTCCGCTGACAATGGTTAAAATTTTGCTTTTCAATTCCGCATTGCTAGAGATAAGAAAACCAGCTCAGCTCTTAATTGTTCATATGCAAGTTCGGTATTGAACAAAATTCGGAACCCACTTACAGTTTGCGGAATCCATTTACATTTGCGGATTCCGCTTAAATTTTGGGGAATCCACTTACAGTTGCGGAATCCAGAACAACTAGCTATATTTGCTTGTTGCGGAACCCGCAACAAAACAAATGTGCCGATAAAATTTACGTTACAGGTATTTGTATGCGGAATCCACTGAAATTTTTTTTGTGGAATCCACTTACTTTTTGGAACATACTTTGAGACTTTTCTCTGGAATCGAGGAACATCCAGACACAAAATTCCGCTCCTATCCAGTGCATGGTTTGGTCACGTAATGTACATTTTTGGCTGAACAACCCAAAAAATTTTCTGAGGCCGCCGTCGGCGCTATTATAAACTAATTTTGAAGGGGAGTATATAGTGATTTATCGCCCACCAAATAGACGCCAATTTTGGCAAATTTTTTTTCCAAAGAATGCCTAAAACAGGTGTTTTTGACCTTTTATTTCAAAAATCAGCCTGTAGCGCACAATTTTTGATCAAAAAGGGTATTTATATTGATCTGGGAGCATGCAGAAAATCAATTTGATCGATTTAAAAAACGTGGACAAAATTTTCTAAAAAATTTTGAAAATCTGCCCTCTTTCGAGAAAATCTTAGATCCTCCCGAGTTGTAATAGGGCCGTGATATTTTTTTTCAGTAAATCATTTTAAAAAAATTTCACGCGCAAATTTTATTTTTAGCGGCTTGACTTTTGATTTATTTTTTGATAAGTGTCGTGCATTTTATTTGTTAACAGGAATCCAAAGTCGGCAACCGAACAGCAAACAAAAAACGTGATCAATTTCTAGTTTCGAAAGTGGTGTTTAATTTTCAGATTTTTCAGCGGAAATAAAAGTTTTCCTACTGATCCAGTATTCTCAAATTGAGTTAATCTTATCAAAAAAGTGTCAATCATAGATTATTTATGAACATCAAAGAGCTTTAGAACCATTGGCAGTTCTTAAAGTTTTAGTTGTTATTTTCCGTACTTTCATTTTTTTCAACTGTATTTTGGCTAATGTCTTATTATAGTATTATAAAAAATACAGCGCTAATTGAAATTATCCGGAAAAAAACGACCTACACAAATTTTAATGCGTTTATCTCAAATTGAGTTAGGACTCGACAGAAAGTGAAGAGAAAAAAACTGCTTAAAATATGACCAAAACTATAAAAGTGTAATTTATGTTGCGAAAACTGGAACAAAAATTTACCCCAAAACTGGGAAGTTTTTCAGTGGTAGAAATTACGCAGAAACTATCAAGATAATTGATTTAAAAATAATTCAAAAAAAGCTGTTGAATAGGAAACATTACGAGGCTAAACTGTGCCTTGGATAGGAGCACATTTTTGTGTCTGTATAAACTGGATTCCAGAGACAAGTCTTAAAATATGTTCCAAAACCTGTAACATAAATTTTGTCGGCACATTTGTTTTTTTGCGGATTCCGCAACAAGCAAATATAGCTAGTTGTTCTGGATTCCGCAACTGTAAGTGGATTCCGCAAAAGGCAAGTGGAATCAGCAAAATGTAAGTGGAATCCGCAAATACAAGTGAAAATTGCAAAATTTGTAGGCGGGATCCGCAAATGTAAGCGGATTCCGCAAATTGTAAATGAAATCCACACTTTTATTTATTACTGAACTTGCAAATGAACAATTAAAAGCTAGAGGTGGAAATTTGATTTATTATCTATAGCAGCGCGCAATTTGAAAGCAAGGACTGATTCATTTTTTTTAGCGGAATCCACAAACGAATCTTAAAACATTGGTTAACTATGCGGATGTCAAATCTTTCTTTATGTTTATCGGATCATCGGATGATTGGATGATCATCGAAAGCTATTTATGGCTTATGATGGTTTGAAATTGGTTTGAAATGGCAGTTCATGTTTGAAATGTGGGCAGTTAAGTCACTCATCAGTATTTGAGATGAGTTGGTTCAGTTATGTTTAAGAAATCATCATCAGTATTTGAGATGAGATGGCTCAGTTTGAAATGGCAGCTAAGTGACTCATCAGTATTTGAGATGAGATGGTTCAGTTGGTTATAAAATCATCATCAGTGTTTGAGATGAGATGGTCAGTTAGTTCAGAAATTATCATCGCACTCATCAGTATTTGAGATGAGATGGTTCAATATTTGAGACTAGATGAAGGACGGCTCGATTGTATTTTTTGAAAGCTGAATGAAACGTTCTCTGAAAAATGGTATCGAAGTTGGGTTACAGGAATTGGGATCGAAGTTTGGTTACAGGAATCGTGATCGAAATTGGGTTACAGGAATTGGGATCGAGGTTGGGTTGCAGGAATAGAGATCGAAGTTGATGACAGGAATTGGGATTGAAGTTGGGCTACAGGAATTGGGGTTAAAGTTGGGTTACAGGAATTGAGAATTTTTTATTCGCAAGCAAATTGTAAAATCTTAAATATACAATCAGCTTTTAACATGAACACGTTCTGTCACGTTTTTTTTTTCACGCCATTTGCAACTGGAATAAACTAGAAGTTGAATTGAGCTAGAAATAATCCAAAAGCCAAGTAAAAAACCAAAAGAAGTTTCAGCGTAATTCTGGTTTAAGTAAAAAAGCTAAAAAACCCATTTTTGAAGAACAAAAACTGCAACATATTAAATTTGGTAAAATTTAAAAGCAACTTTTTTTCTCGACATTTTTTGCCTAATCTCAGCCCAATTTGAGAAAACCGCGTTTGAAATTTTAACATTATGAGGACAAACTGTGCACTAGATAGGCGCACAGTTTTGAGTCTGTGTGTTACTGGATCCCAGCGACAAATCTTTAAACATGTTCCAAAGAGTAAGTGGATTACATTTACAAAAGTTTCGTGGATTCCGCGTACAATTAGCTGTAAGGTAAATTTAGTCGGCACAATTGTTTTGTTGCGGATTCCGCAACAAGCAGATATAGCTAGTTGTTCTGGAATCCGCAAACTGTAATTGGAATCCGCAAATATAAGGAATACGAAAACAAAATGCGGATTCCACTTACAATTTGCGGATTCCACTTATCAATTGCGGATTCCACTTGCAATTTGCGGATTCCGCTTACAGTTGCGGATTCTGCAACAGCTCAATGTAACTATACACATGTCTTAATATTTGTTCTTGATTTCAAAAAAACAGTTGCGGATTCCGCAAATTTGCCTGTTTTTGGAGCCGTTTTTAGCGGTGCAATGTTCTAAGTATTTGTTTGTGGAATCCAAAACAGCAAAGAAGATCGAAGAAAAGTAGCAAGATTGCGGATTCCGCTTACAACTCGGCATAACCACAAACAACAACAACAACAACAGAATGCACAGTTTGGGCTCGTAATGAAAAAAATTCTTCGAGGCTAAAATCTCCAAGAATTTGTATACGAGAATATCTTCTGGCTTGATAGTCAAAAATTGTCATTTTTACTACATAAAGCTCAAAATTTTTGTTTGAATAGAAGTTTTTAGCGTTTCGCCCTTTGTTAGCGATTTTTTTTTCTAGATTTTTGCTGGGCTCAGGATTGTGTAAGGGACTTCTTTTGATACAATTTTCTAATCAATTGAATAAGTCGTTTCAGCGTAATTCATGATTTAAGAAAGCTAAAATTACCAAATTTTGAGCTAAAATGTTTTTTAAGAATTGCAGGAAAATCTGTTCACTTTTTGTCAATCTAAAACTTTTTTGAGAAGAACCCCGTTTGAACTTTGAAACCTTGTTTGTTGGTCCGGATAATTTGAATCAGGCTTGTATTAGTAGATGTAGTTATAAGCAACCCTTGGAAAGTTTAATCTGCTTTCAGTATTTAAAAGCTGAAAATTAATTTGACATCTTAATTATGAATAAAGGGTTTTTTTTTCCTTAAAAGGTTAAAGCTTTCCAGACATACACGGAGTGTGGTCTGTATTTGGACAACCGCGTATTCATTCACGTCAGTAAGCAGACAAATAATGTATTAACCAATCAGAATCGAGATGAGAAAGCAAGTTTACCAAGTATATTATTTTTAATTATTAATTTCTTCCTTGTCTCGATTTTGATTGGTTAGAACAGTATTTGTCTGCTTACTGACCAGTATGAATACGCGGTTGTCTAAATACTGCTACGCAACCCGGAGAAACGATGTTAACTTTCAGTTTTGATTAAATATGTAATTCCTTACACTTTTAAAATAAATATGTGAAATCAGACGGCTCGAAAAACAATCAACAGAAGTTATTACTTTAGGTGGAACTACACCACTACTCTGTATGCAGGCTCGTTTGCGTTAATTGGCTCGGCTGCATTTGTGGGGGGAGTGGTACGGATGACGATCAGCCTTACAGTCATCCTTATTGAGACAACAAACGAGATCACATACGGTCTACCCATCATGCTCACACTACTTGTTAGTAGAATAACTGGGTGCAAGCAAAAGATTGGGCTCATTCAGCCACAAATTGGCGTTGTTTTAGTACTCCCGTACCACCGAAATCCACTGCTGCTCGCAATTTAAATTTTAAAGCAAAACAATGTTTTATTTGAAGTTACTCAAGCTCTAAAGACACAATTGTATTGCTTATTTTTTTGGGTGTCGCCCAATAACCATAGAAAACAACATAAGAAAATCAAAAGATAACTATTCAAATTGAAATAGAGTCAAAAACTGAGATTTGGTATCATTTAAGGCGCTTTGGTTGCAAAATTGTCATGTAGAATAACATTTATACTAACATACAGTATAAGAAAATTTCTTGATAAAAGTTGTTATTACAGACTCTAAGGCACTAAATTCGACTCATATATCAGTATATTATTTTGATTTATGGTACTGCAAATAAAACCAAGCGAAAATGTTCTTCAACTTCAGCAGAATTTTTCTTAGGGACAAATTGTTGGCGAATAATTGAAGAAGTCAGATCTATAAGACGAAACAAAAAATTAGTTCCTTGTGTGAGACAAAAATTTTTTTCCTTGTTTGAGCTACACGTTTATGAGTTTCAAAACTTCTATGTAGAATTTTAAACTCCTAACATTGCTGTGAATTAGTTAAGGAAAAATGTGAGGTGATTGATTAACAGTCACTGAACGTTGTGAAGACTCTTTTACAGATCTTGGTAGTTTTTTGTTTTTTTTTTCAGGAAAAAGTTTTTAAATCTTTAAAAAACACAGATGTGCATTCATACTTTTTAATGTGCTTGTGTGAAAATAAATTTTTTGAAGTCATTTCAACTTCATCTGCTAAATATTAGGTAAATGCGCTCTCAGAATCTAAACGTGGAATTAAAGCGAGAAAACATGAACTTCTAGTTTTGAAAAAAGATTTCAAGTTTTTGATTTCCCAGCGTAATCACGGCTTTACTGATTGATCCTTTTTTAAAGTTGAATTAATTTCATCAAAAAATTGTCAATAAAAATTTGTACTAAAATTTAGGAGCATGGAGGCCATATATTTATGTTTTTATTTTTGAGAGTCGAGGTTGAATTTTTTTTCTAGAAACTGACTAGTTAATTGATTACTTTCCAATTGTCTGTTGGCTACGTTTCTTTAGGAGAAGAAACACTACTCAAATCAAAACAACAATTAAGTATTCATAACAAAAAAAAGTTAACTGTACGTTCGCGTAAACTATACAACGTTCTGGCTAATTTGGAAACAGATATTCTGTCAAAATTAATCAAATTGATTTAGTCCTAGCCGAGTAGATTTTGGCTCAATTTTAGAGACAATCTAATAGTTAGTTCGAATGCTTGTACAAATAACATTCCAAAAACGAATAAAAATTGTCGATTGGTTAAGTTGTTTGAAGTTATGATCAATTATACGGTGTGATATGTTTTCATATCTCTCTGACTTTTTGAAGGCTTTTTTGGGCTTGGCATTCTTCAATTCCCTCATGTTGACTTTACATTGACCAGATATCAAATCAATTCAAAATATCAGAAGGTTAGTTTTTCTTAATCAAATGAATTTTGACAAACATACGTTTCTCAAAAATTGGAAATTTTGTTCTCAGCTTTTCCAACAAGCTTGATAACCTTCAGAGTCCGTTCAAGCTGGTGCACTTCGAATGTTAAACTAAAATTTCGTAAACGTTTTTAAAGCACATAGCTTGAAAACAGTGTACTTTTCTTCTTATTGAAAGTATTATAACATGATATTTTCATGGTTTATTTTTTTTTCGGATTAATTGAGCCATGCCCCACCCCCCTTCCCCGGAGGAATAACCAATTGAGTTCTCTTCACCCTCACGCCCGCGCAAAAACGGTTAAAAGCAACAAAAGAAGTCATTAAATGCCAGCATATGGTCGATATATGAATATCAGGCAAAAAATTGACCCACTGATTATCATTTGAAATGATGTCGAGAAAAACTTCTGAAAATGAACTATCAATTTTTTTTTCAGTTTTTTTGGGAGACCCCTGCTACAAGGAAATCAAGTTACCAGTGTTGGTTGTTCTATTTTTGTATCTGAATACCGAAAGGATTTCTCGACAGCCCCTCAATAATGTACGCAATAATCAGACTCTTATATAGGTCGCGATGGTTTTTTGTTTCGTTTTTTTTTGCGGTTTGAGTTTTGATTTCTTTTTGCGGCTTGAATTGTGGAAAGTAGTTTTCAGGTTCAATTGTGGAATGTAATTTTCGAAAAAAAAAATTTACCTATCGATCTAATTTTTTTTCAAGTTCAGTTAGTTTTAGCAAAAAAAGTATCAATCATAAAGTCATAAAGTGTTATTGGTGTTCAAAGGGCTTTAAGACCCTCTATTTATTTCTTTGAAGCTCGAAAGTTGAGATTAAAAAAAAACTAGTCAATATCTTCTTTGTTTATTTCCGTTCATGACTCTTTTCCAACTGTATGTTGGCTATGTTTTTGTGTGTATCATTTTTATTGCTTTTATTTCATTCTGGAAGTATTTTTGAGTTTTTATTTTTTGCACTCTTAATTTTTGTGTTTCACATTCGTTGGAGAATGTGAATCATTATTTCATATCATTCAAACTGATTTAAAGCAGTTATAAACATGCCTAAAGTACCCATTGAGCTATCTCCCCTCACACGGGAATGGGGAAGTTTGCTAAATTTGTTCAATTTGTCTTCAACACTTCAATGGCTACTCAGTTTTTTAAGTGGAGAATATAAAAGCTTAAACATGAATGGGTGTTTCAGTCGGCCAAGTTTGTGGGTGATCTGTTCAACATTGGCCTGTACGATATTCACAATGAGATGAAGGGCATCCCCTTCCTGGAGTGGGACGCACCCGAGGGCGTTGACGAGTAAGAACCAAACATCCAATGAGTAGAAGATTTATAATGAAAATTTTTCCCTCACAGTTTTTTCCAAACATTCTGCCTTTTTGCCATGAAATGGGAAAGCACAATACGAATTCTGAAAGATGCTCCAAAAATGGGTTTTCAAAAACTTTACGAAATACTATTTTAATACATTCATTTGAGCCGAGCGTTCCTAATTTTTTTCCGAAGTACAATAATTTGAGATATTTTCAAAAGCGCCCATTTCTCCAAAAAATTATGGTCAGACAAAGCTGATGAAGAGCTGAAGCTTTGTGAAGCAGATGGATCTATAATGAGTTGAAATCTTTTTCAGTCTGGAGGCGAAGGACATAATGTCCTCCAAACTACTGTGCATATTGCCACACAGCTCAGTGCAGCACGTGATCACTCTCCTCAAAGAAACCAACCACAACTCATTCCCGGTCGTCACTCCCGACAACGTCAAGGGCGACAAGGAAGAATTGGATGTGATCGAACAGCTGCCGACTGGAATTGCCAGCGAGAACCTCCGATTCAGGGTGGGTTAAAAAACTACTGCATTTTAAGCAATAATAACCTGCTTCGTATGTTTCTATCTTTCTAAACAACATGCTGACATGAAACGAAACACTTGATTAATTAAAATAACTACAAAGTGTTAATAAGCAAAAACTATACGCATAAATTTAACTTTAGCCGGTAAAATCTTAAAGACCCTAATAATAGGACATAATTCGTTGCAAAGTTTTAAATTGCAAACAATCAATGCTCTTGAACATGGAAAACTTGATATTTAATTGCTATTGAAAAACATCGAAATTTCAAACGCGTTTTTCTCAAATTGGGTTGAGATTAGGCAAAAAATGACGAGAAAAAAATTGCTTTTAAATTTCACCAGATTTAATATGGTGCAATTTTTTTTCTTCAAAAATGGGTCTTTTTGCCTTTTTTACGTAAACCAGAATTACGCTCAAACTTCTTATGGTTTTTTTTACTGGGCTTTCGATTTAATTCTAGTTCAATTCAACTTCAAGTTTATTCCAGTTGCAAATGGCGTGAAAAAAACGTGACAGAACGTGTTCATGTTAAAAGCTGGTTGTATATTTAATGGTTGAGCGGAATGCAATTTCCACTATCAAACAGCTAAAGTTTAAAAGTCGCGAAAAACGTGATCGAGTTCTAGTTTCGATAATTACCCTTGCGATTAAAAATGGTATTGCAATCAGGTATTCGATTTTTTCCCGGTAAGCAACTTTGTTCACAGGACTCATCCGGATGTCTGGACTCATTTCTATATCTGTATAATAATGTATTCAAACTTAGTAGCGTTCCCTGCCAACTTAATCTGGAGGTAACGAATATGCCTGGGACGGCAAAATTCCTGGTTTCGAACCTGACCAGGACATAATTTTTTTAAACGGGAAATATTGTTTCAAATCAAGTTGCCGGCCAATTATTTGTTTGTTTATGTGTTGTCGGCTAAAATCTTGGAATCGTTTTTTTTGCTTGCATTTTTTTTTGCAAGGTTGCTTTTAGTTTTTGATTAACTCCTACAGTTAATAATTTTACTCAACGTGACTTCTTATTTACTTGTTTTTTGCTTAGCTAAAAAAAGCCCTAGGGCCAATTTATATTGGACGATTATTTATCGGCGTGATACCTTTTTGGTTGTTTCAACTGAAGCAAAATTTGAACTATCCTCTCTGCATTTTTAAAGTTGGTTGTTTGCTTACCAATTGGTTTGTTGAATTTTATTTTTTTTTTCGTTTTGGTTATTTATTTCAGTTTTTGCAAAAAATTTAGTTTTTCTCATACAAAAAACGTACGAATTGGGAGACCGCCTAGAGTTTTGAATGCCTGCATACTCTCCTAGAGTTTCTAGTTGTTCGGTCCTTCTGTCTACAGCCTTCGAACAACCTGAGGGGAATATTTGACCCCTATTTTTGATTTTTTTCATTTTCTCAAAAACTACCCTCTCAAATCTGAAAAACTGTCCTCTCAAAAATTACTCTCTCAACTCTCTGCATAAGTGGCTACGCGCATTTTTTTTCTCAAGAAAAGTTATGGCCTTCAAAATAGTCAAATTTTTGACCGTTTTGTGATTTTTTTTGACATTTCTCAAAAACTAACCTCTCAAATCTGATATCGTGGGTTCAAAGGAGATAACGAGTAGGTTTGAAGTTTCCCTGCGTTAGTGGCATCTCACAAAGATTTTCACACTTATTTTTATTGTCCTCGTAAGTGTCAAATTTTTGATTTGTTGACCGTTTTGTTAAAACTTTTCGAATATTCTTGAAAACTACCCTACCATATATGAGATTTCGAGTTCAACTGAAAAAACGGGTTGTAAAAAGCTCAATTACTTATGCGACTACGCCCAAAATTTATGGCCCTCAAAATATACAAAACTCTGATTTTTGACCAATTTTTGAAACTTTTTGACTTTTCTCGAAAACTACTATGCCAAATCTGAGATTTTGGGTTCAATTACAGGTTGCGTTAGTTCTTTCTTTATAAGCGGCTACTCCTATTTTTCTCGCAAAAACTAAGACTCTCGGAAATGTCAAGTTTTGTATTTGTTCACCATTTTAACGACTTTTTCGATAACAAATTTGTCATTATAGGTTTAACCTAAACAACAGGTAGCTACCTGCCCTACCCTTATAATTGGCTTAGCAGTTTGTGTTAGCAGTTTGTGTAAGAAAAAAATTTTGGCCATCAAACAAGTCAAAGTTTTGAAACTTTGACAGTTATTTGGAAACTTTTTGACTTCACGCGAAAACTACATTGACAATTATCAGGTTGCAATCAATCGAGAAACATAGTTTTTGGATTCTTCTCTGCTTAACCGGCCACAACCTGCTTTTTACAGAAAAAATTTATGGGCTTTGGAAAGTCTTTTGACCGTTTTTTAGAATTTACTTTCTTTTACTAACATGATCAAATCTGAGAAGAAAATTTCAATTGAAAGAACCGGTTGTGATAATTTTTCCTGCAGAAGCTGCGACTCGTTAATTTTTGGCAGAAAAATTTTGTCCCGGGGAAAATTTTCCAACCTATTTTAGTAGAGAAATAACTAAAGTTTTGGGCAAAGTCCAATTTTGGAATTCACATTTTTTGTGTCGCATCAGTACAGCGAATTTATTCAATATCGTACGTATCTCCAGCTTTAGCTGCTCCTCAATTTTTTATCGGACAAATTTTAGTTCACCTTGTTTGTTTCAACATTTAAAATTTTTTCTGGTTTTATGTTTAGGTTGTATCGAAAGTGGCGCGAAGCTCCAACTTCGCCTCTGTGGAAAATTTAACTTTCAGATTTCCCAGCGAAATATAAAGTTTACCTATTGATCCAGTTTTCTCAGATTGGGTTAAGTTTATCCAAAAATCTTAATAAATTGTTTTAAAAATCAAAGAGCTTTAAGGCCGTCTTTTTTCATAGAAAATCGAAAATTGAGATTTGAAAAAGTTTTTTTTTCTGGTTACTTCATTAACTCTCTTTAAAACGTCCGTTTAATGACAGCAAGAATAAATTGTGAATTTTAGCGTGATTAGTTATCATGTGTCGTTTCAGAGGACTTCGATCATGGAGTCCATGCAGACGCCCTCTAGAAAGAGTCTGGCGGAGGCAGCTGCCAAGGCAGACGGGACCGCACAGTTCCTCACTCTCCCGTTAGTTGCATTCTAGCTAACATAACTCTCACCAGCGGGAATTTCACGAGCAGGGATGCAATTGTTCCGACCATTTGAAAAATGAGAAGGAACTTGTATTCGGGTGCGTTTTACTTTTTTTCCGCGCAGTAGCAAGTACCACAAATAATTATTAGAAAGGGTCGAGTGATATATCATATTTAAGCTCTTTCAGTCTCAAATTTTCAAAAAGTTGTTCCAGTATTGAGACAAACAGATTTAAAAAAAATTTGAATTTTTGTTTTAATTCGAGCAAATAAGCAAGCAAACAGACTTACAATAGCTTATATTAATAGCTTATTAGCTGACAATTCAGTTTTTTAGCGCCTTTTCGAAATGAAAAATTTGAAAAATTCCAAGAACTATTAAAAAAATATTTTGATTTTTTTGAGTTTTTTTTGTGTTTCTAATCATTTTTCTTCAAAAACGGTTTGTTCGTTTTGTTTATTTTACTATGGCTGTTGACTGTGCTTAGGTTTTAGTTTTTCGTTCAGATCCTTTCATTACAACACGCAGAAAAGAAACGGCACTTTGAAACAAAGTTTAATTTGAATTAAAACGACACTTTTGTGATGTATTTTTATTTAAAAACTATAGTTGAAACATTCTGTGCCATTTGCACAACCACCTACTATCCTTGTTGTCGATTGGTTTTCTAATGCTTTCAACTTCCAACTGACCTTTCAGTCTAATTTTATTGATGTGAGTCACTGAAGTGACGAGAAGCAATTATTGTTTAGCTAATGTTTTTTTTTCCAACACCTTTTATTCAATTCGAAGAAAGCCTGCAAGTCAAGATAAGTCAAGATTTGGATTCCAAAACAAATTCTAAAAAATCGTCCTGATTTCGAGTAAACTTTCCGTTTTTCAGACTAAATGACAAAAAAGAACAAATTACGCGATGATTTTGTAAAAAAAAAATTGGACCCTTATTTAATTGTCATGTGGCTTACACGTTAGTTTAGCGCTTATATTGTCTCATTAGACTAATTTCATCTCCCTTTACAGGAAATTTATTTGTAAAAAATTTATGCTGCCGGCTATCTTTGGTTTTGGTTCTTTCCCGGGACGAAGCGCTCACCTTATGTTTTGACCGTCTCGACCAAAAACTGTTTTTTTTTTCGACCGTCTCTACTAAAATTCGGTATGTTTTCCCCAGATTCGACCAAAATTTGTTACGTTTCGACTACGCTCGGCCGAAAAAAAATGTGCTCAACCGTGCTTGACCCTAGTAAGTTATGTTTTAACCTTCCTCGACCAAATTTGGGTATATTTTTCGACTTTCAAACAAAACGATTTATCTAAATTTAAACATTATATTTTATGTTTTTTATGATGCTATTTTATCAGTTTGAAATTAAAAGAGGTATTTGCAATTTAAATGCCATGACGATATCAACTTTTTTAAGCTGTTTTTCCCATGTTTTGCGATACTCTTTTGCAGTTTGAGTCAAAATGGTTTAACAAAATATGTTGATGTTTGGAAGAAACTTTTCTTTTTGACTCAGGTCAATCGATATTTTTCGACCGTGCTCGAGGAATATTTCAGCAGTGCTCGAGGTACGTTTCAAATTTGTGCTCGACCCAAACCCCTGTCTCGACTATTCTTTTTCGGTCGAACACTGACATCTGCTCGACTTTGAAAGTCGAAACTTAAAGTGAGTACCTCAACCTGGTTATAGCGAAGGTCATTTTCATCTTTTGCCCCGATCATTTTACAAATTTGGTGAGCAGCTTTTATTTTTTCAATTGTTGGCATAAAAATTAAGGTTGTTGGCGAAACAAAATTGGTATAAGTGAATACGTTAACACCAAAAAAACATTAACCACAAATACTGCTCACTAAAGCCGACGAAATTATTCGTACGCCTTTTTCACGATCCGACAAAAGTGTTATCGAAATATTGCGGTTCGAGTCATGGCTGAAAGGGATTTTTATAAAATATCAGTTGACCACTTACAACGCTCCTGCATGCCAGTTTCCTTCTCACCTTCAGTGATTGGAACAATAAGTCAAATGGTTTTGTTCTTTTTCAGAGGTACAGATGACCCTAACTTGATCAAGGACAGGTACAATGACATCAAGACTAACCCAGTTGAACCAATGAGCAAAGTGCGATTCCATGGCGTGGTAACTCGGGCTCAACTAGTGACACTTCTGAAGAACCAAGTGTGGTACGATCCAGAAGCAGGGGTGAGTACGGGTCGTCTAATCAAGTACTGAGGTTTATGTTTTATTATTTGCTTTTGTTTTCATAATTGTATAAACACATAAATAATAATTTAATCAAAATGCAACGCTATCTGAATTTTACCTCTCTCCGAACGTAGATTTGAAATGAGCACTATGCAAAGAACTCTCTCGGAAACAGCTTTTTTCTAATGAATCTGTCCCGTGTGTTTTTCATGTACATTCCCCAATAATGTTCTTGACTCCCTGTTTGTAGGCGATGTCTCAGCGTGAGTTGGACCACTGGCAGATGATCGAGGACTACCCCAGGTATCCCTCTGTGTCCGACCTTGACCTCTCCAATATTCCAAAGTCCGTCGTCATGGTAAGATTGATTACCCACACTTATTCTTATGCTATCCTTTCACCTAAGAATGCTTAAGGCAAACTTCTGCTCATTTCAAAAGGTTCACTGACACGGATTCTGATGGTTTTCAGCGGAATATAGATGTCTTCAGGGGCGTATTTAGGGGTGGGGGGCGAAGGCCTCCATTTTCAGGGATTTGACCCTCTCACCAACCAAAGGGACCCCCTTTGGTATTATTTCATGACATCCATTTTAGGCCGACCAATTTTTTTTTCAAAAAAATTTTTACTTGTTTTTTTAAATTTTCCTGCGGCGCAAGAATTATAATCACAGTACTGTCTTTAATCAATTTGGTTGATCTAAAAAAACCAAAAATAATTTTGAGGAACTTTTGAAATAGCGCCCCTCCCCCTCGAGAGAACCCTAGATCTGCCTCTGGATGTCTTCATGTAATAATTCGAAGAACACTGCTTGTTTTCCCCAATTAAGTAGTAAATATGGCACAGAAGTGGGTCAATTAAGGATTTTGTAACTTAAGTTCAAGATGAGGATTTCGATTTACAGAAGAAACTAAATTTTGGCGTCAAATGTCTGTTTTATTTGTTTTTAGTACTTTTTGTTTATGTAGGACGTGACGCCTTACATGAAGAGTAGTCCGTACATAGTGTCTCCCCACCTGGTGGCGCCGAAGGTGTTCAACTTCTTCCGCACCATGGGACTGCGGCACCTCCCAGTCGTCAACAGCATCGGAGAGGCAAGACATAGCACCACATATCACACCTTCCATACATAGATATGATTAATTCTACACTTACTTAGGTAGTGGTTTTTAAGAGTAAGAACGTAGTGACTACTCTTATATAGGTCTTGCTGATTTTTTTTTGTTTTTTTTTTCAGGAATATTAAAAAATTATATTATATTTAATTATATTATATTTAAAAAAACTTATATAGGTCTTGCTGATTTTTTTGTTTTTTTTTCAGGAATATTAAAAAATTATATTATATTTAATTATATTATATTTAGTTTTATCATATTGGAATAGTTTTATCACAAAAATGTCAAAAATGAATTCTTCTAAAAGTTAAAAAGCCTTAAAGGTTTTTTCTTGAATTTCGAAAAATTAAATTTTTTTCAAAAATCAAGTCATTTTTTGATTCCTTGCGTTCATTACTCTTTTCCAACTGTCAGTTGGCTATGCCTAATTTACTTCTACATAATTTTTTTCTTTCGTCTTTCGCAATCGTCAAAGAAGAAAACTTTCAGACCAAATCAATGAGAATTTTGCAAATGTTGAGCTCATAAGATAGTGGTTATATCAGACAGTTTGAAATACATTTTCATACATTCAATAAACGATTGAAATGAAAGAAGGTCACACTATGTTTGAAAGAAGGTCACACTTTGTCTATTTGATAAATTTATTGCAACAATTAGACTAAACTAAGCTCTTCAGAAGCAAATTTGCAAATGACGCACGAAAATCTGGTATGACGTTCAATTTCGGCAAAAAAATGATATAAAATGTTACCAATTGATTGAGTTTGTGCTCAAATTGGGTCAGTTTTGTTAAATGTTAATTATGAAATCAGTTTGAAACTGAAAAAGCTAAGTTATATTGTGTCTTTAAAGAAAATCAAAAGTTCAGAGATGATCAGCCTAATTGTTTGGATGTTTTTATATGTGCGTAGCGTAGCGATGCAAACATTTTTTTCCAATCTAAGTCACCAATAAAAACGCTAGTTTTGGTGACAATTTTGATTTAGGAGGCTGCAATAGCAGTATTTTTAAATGTGCTTTGGCATTTGATTTGTAGTTATTTAAAACATTTGATGATTTTTCAATTCATCAATTGAACCGAAAAAAAGCTATTTATTTCATACAACAGTATAATAATTAAAATCCCATTTCAGCAATCTTCCAACTCGATATACTTGCTCAAGATGCGAATTAGCGAGCAGAGGACAAAAACTAATTTTTAGCGTATCCGAAATCCTTTAGTTATCGTTAGAGTAATCAGCTTAAAGTTGGGTAGTCTTAGCCCGCATTGTGAGCTGAAACTGTTTAGATTGTCGGAGTCATCACCCGAACTGACTTGACCCACCAGGCTATGGTGCACAAACTAGTGGAGAAGGCATCCAATATAGCCACATCACCCCACTAACTCCACTTGTCATCACCAAAAGCGACACAATAGACATAGACATAACCACATGGGAACTAACGATTACAATAGCATTCTCTTCTCAAATCAACGGCGAAAACAAAAAATTAACCAGATTATTAAACTCGAAAATATTTACTTGGAAGATGAGCAAAAATTATTTAATCAGTGTATATTATACCATCCTTTTCCTTATAGCTTCCTTAATTCAAATAAATTTATTCGGTCACCTGCAATCTCTGCATGCTTTTTCAAACTCATGGTTTTTCAAAAACATTTACTTTGATGCACTAGTTTATCCAAATGTTTCATGCAGTCTTAAGAATTGTTCGAGCTTGCTATTGCGTATCAAAGCCAACTGTGGTAAGATCGTTTTGATATGAAGCTTTACTTTTAAACTGGATTGAATTTTCAGAAAACCCTGTGCAAGCACAAATTATCTTCACACTCGATAATTTCCTTTTTCAAGAACGTATCAAAATTAACCCTCAAAAGTGCTCTTATGAAGCAAACAAATTTATTCACGATGCGCTTGCCTTGTATCGCAGTTGATGTGAAGCTCTGCTTCGTCTCTGTGTGAAAATATATTTTTTTGGTCAATGGGTGTCTGCTTAAATTCTGTCGGCTTTGTGACCGCCGTTGACCGGTTTATCCAAGTTGACATGTTTTTCTCGAATATTATTCATGAGGAATTGCGACAAACATAGAAAAATTATGGGATATATTTATGTTTTTTTTTGGACAGCGGTTTTGTTGCATTTTATGCCCAAAAATTTATTCTATACTTGTGTTGCATCGCAAGTAATGTAAAGCTCTGCTTGGCCTCTGTGTTTAATGCATTTTTTTGGATGGAATCTGGAATTACTTTGACAGGTATTAAAATTAACCAAGCTGTTTCTTAGCAGAGACCAATAGTACCATTTTGTTCTTCAGATAGAGCATCTGATGATAACATTGAGAAATAAAAATGAAAGAAGAACTCAAAATTGATGGATTTCACAGAATGCAATGAATGAAAAGACTGCTCGTATCAGGGCAAAGCCCTGAATGTCCCGACTGGCTTTAAGGTTTATGGAGCTGTAATAACATAAAAAAATTAAATGAAATAAAATAAAATGAAATTTTTTTCTAAAATTTTAATTTTAATTTTGTAAAAATCATCACCCCACAGGCCATATAAAGTACAAAAGGATAGATTTTGCTCCTTTTAACAAATCAATTATGGCATATAAGCTTCTTTCAACCAATTTGGAACGATTTCTAAGACGGATTATATCTCCGCTTACGCGTTAACAGCGCGAAATATATCGCGCGTTAATTGTCTCAAATTGGCAAGAATGGCAATCCTTAAACCCCCATTACTTTACGAAAAATGATCACAGGTAAAATATATATTTTTTCAAATTTAGGCTCAAGACAACAATACCTTTTCAATGATATTAAGACATTCCGTCAAAAATGGCTAGTTAAAAAGTCGAAATTTGTTAGAAGAAAAAAAACCCACCCCGAGCACAAATATTCCGTTATTTTCGTTACAAAAGTCGGAACAATAACAAAGATAGCCGGTTGCTGTGCAAATATCACATAATGTTCTCACTGCAAAGGTTTTTCTTGTTTAGAAGCTGAGTGTCGTTTTTATTGCATTTAGTGATGAAATAACTATGCAAATGCGTAGAAAGTTAGTGAATCAAACAGAATGAGCAACAAAAAAATTTAAGCTTCAAAAAATTTAAACATTAATCTATATTTCTTTTTTTTGTTAGAAAACCTTCATTGCAAAAGAAGTGCTAAGCGAAACGAATTAACACTGAAAAATTTTAATCACTCGATCCATTTTGATGTTTATTTTTTGTAAGTTAACACCACAAAAAGAAGATGATTTGTGTTTTTAAAGCTTTTGTAAAGCAACTGGAGTTCAAAAACTGGTAAAATGTTATGCGCCGCAATAAAAGTTTGTAGAATGCACTTCAGATGTAAATCAGAAACCCGAAATTTTAACCGTAGGGTGTTGGTTAAATGATCAAAAACTTTTTGAAAAAAAAGAAGCTGCTTCGTAAAACCTAGTTTGAAATAAGCTTCCATTTTGTTTCAAATTAGAACCACACGTGTTTTGGTACGTTTGTACAAAGGGTTTTAAAAACGTAATATGAAGTAAAACATGAGTAATTTTTTTGTACAAAAGAACAGTTTTTGAAATTTTCAATAAAATATTTAAAATATCTGCGTTCTCTCTAGTTGTTTTATTTTCAACTGATGCAAGTTTTCGGTTCCAAACACATTTTTGGCAGGTAAGTGCAAAATTCTTTGCGTTTTTTTTGCATTTTGGAGCACCCTTTGCGCATTTTGCTGAATTTTTTCATACTATTTTCAAAATGGTTCTGCTGTTTTGGTAATCACTGCTTCAGATTATAATTTTTGGCAGTCACAGCCAAAAATTACTATCAAGAAAGTTATCAAGTATCACATGTGGTAATTTTTGTTTTAAAGAAAACTATACATGAAAAATAAAGATTTTTGTTTCATTTACAGTACATGCTGTTTTTTTGGTGGTTTTATGTTTCGATGGCTTAGCAAGAGTTAATAAACAAACACGTAAGTGGAGGAGAAAAAATGAAAAAAGGTTATAGATTGAACATTGAACTTGAAATCAGCGTGCTCTCGGGCGGATATGGGCTACCCACCATCCCACATGCGCTTTGAGCCTAAAAAATCTGCTTGCTTAGCATTTTGAAAATTTATCTATGATGCTAAAAGCGTAACACAAAAATTTACACCCTCAAAAACTTATTCCAAAATGGAATCAAGCTGACTGGTCTAACTTTTTTCTCTGAATTAGGTTTTAACATTTGATTTTTGAAATTGACAGTCTATAAATTAAATTTCATCGAAATTTTCATAATCAAATTTTTTGTTAGCCAACTACAGGGCAGTTAAAGGTTTAGGGCTTTTCACTGATATACGAGAAGTTTTGCTCGTCGAAGTTTAAAAGCCGAAATTTAACTGGAGAAAAAAAACACCGATCACAAAAATTGGAAAAATGTGGAAAAATTGGAGCAACAAAAACTCGTTACTTGTCTCCTTACGTTTCCTTTTTTTAAAAAAAAAAACGTGTTTTTATTGACCTTAAAGGTCTTTATCTTGATACGAGAAGGCCTTCAAAGTTTGCTAGTGATTTGAAGAAGAAAAACCATTATATAGAAGTCGGACAGAAAAGTTGTTGCAGATAGTTTTAATTTTGCCCTTGTGCCCTTGTTGCAGATAGTTTATATTTTTGCCCTTGTGATATTTTGGTTTTAATGTAAATTGATGTGGTAAATATAAAGAAAAAGGGTTATCTTTGCATAAATGAGTCTTATGAAGGATATATTCAACTCCAATGTTTTTATTTCGGTAATCGCTAATTAAAAAAAATTCTGGTTTGCAGTCAAGGTGTCTAGGACTTGAGACCGAAATTTAATTTTTACAATACAGCTCATATTTTATTTCTTAACACTCTTGATGGTCAATTAAAGGCTCAAAATGTGGAGAAAATCAAATAATGTTTAATGAACTTCAATGACATCGATAAATTTTGACTTGAATTCCTAATTTTGCTGTTCAGCTTGAAGATCCGTCGACCTGACGTCCGGCATAACTGCAGTTAGTGCATTTAGATCTGATATGTGGCTAAAAATTGTTATTTCAATCACCAAATTCGATCTGAGAATGACTAACCCAAGTAGATAATATACGCAAAAAAAACTTTGAAATAACTCGTATGTATAAATCCTATTCCATTTTTCTGTAATTACTGGATTTGTATTGATTATGCCGCACAATTTTTGTGCTGTTGTTTTATTAAGAAAAACGTTTGATTGAAACAATCAATTATTATTTACTACCAAAACCAGAATATTTTGATTGAAAAATTTGAATAAGAGTATAAAGTGAATATTTACACGATGATTCAATGAAACAAGCTGGACAAGCTGCTATGAACCAAGATGTATCAGCTTCAATCCCAAACCAAAAAAGTAATTGACTAGCACTTAAAAAATCTTTTCTCGATCTATTTCATTTTCAAAAAAATTTAAGTATCAGCAATGTTTTTGAATCATCCAGATCTAAGGCATTAAAATAATATCAGATGCATTGGTCTTTTTTAAGACTTTTGAATAACAATTTTGTAAATTTTAAACACTTTCTTGCCATTATTACAATGAATTAGGGTTTTAAATTTGTGGTTTTAGACCCGATCAATTGTCACTACTTTTTTCAACAGGTCAACGCACGCTTTCGACTCCTCTACAATCTTCATGCCATCATCTGCGGCGGCTACGTAGAAAGCGCACGGCGTGCAGCAGTATGTCCATGCACACGCGAGCACCTTGTTCGCAGTGTTATTTGGGATCTTGTCCAGTGCGTTCATGTACCAGAAGGCGAGAGTGCACGGGCAGCATGACACAGTCGGCAGTCGGTAAAAATCCTCCTTCAGTTTCTGAAAGCAGAAAACCAATTTGAGCCGTCTGAAAAAGGTCAATGTTTTAAAAGGCCGGATCCGAAAAAAGCAATCACCTTTTACAATATGAGCTTTTGCAAGTTAGCCATAGCTTAATTGACCTTAAATAATAAACCTTCGGGCTAGGCCTCTGTATGGTTAACTGAACAAAAAAAAACAATCTCCCTACCATCTCAAAAAAAGTTATATGATTGTGACAAGTAGATTCGAAAAAGACTAACGAAGCAAACCAAATCCTGGCATTATAACTGCATAATTGAGATTACTTGAAATTAATTCACAGAATTTGGGATTGCGACGTTTACTGTCAGCACTAAGAAGACCCATTCCAGAAAAACACATTTTGGTTGAAAGCCCTTCAATAAAGTTTGACAAACGGCCCTTTTGGAACTTTTTTCAAAGGGTATTGTGTGGCGCAGCGCATTTTTTTTTCGTTTTTGAGAGATATCAGATAACTAATGGTCGACCTGAATAAAAATCATGTTGGAGTTTTCTTCAGTTTCATTCTGAGTGAAATTTTTCCTCTGTATCGATTTCAATTAATAAAGGTTTGTGAATCTGCCGACTAATCTGCGAAAAAGTTCCAACAAATATTCTTAAAACAACCCCAATTTCGCAAAACTACTTGATTCGCACCTGAGTCGAATGATTTGTTGTTGATCAAAATTGACGTGTTAAAAAATGTTTATTAACGCTAAGTTTCACACATTTACACATACTGGGCTAATTCA